GTTATAGAAATCAGTCTATCAGAGATGGTGACAGTATACAGATGAGCATGTAAAATCTTCCTACCCCAGAACCCTGCCGTTCAGTCTGGTCCGGTCTTAGTCAGTGGCCACCTTTCAGTCATTCTTAAGTAATTTAAGTGAGGAATTGTTTGTAGAATATAGCTTTTTCATGGGTATTGAATATTTTCCAATTTCTCTTCTGTCCTCAACATGAAGTTGTAGACATTAACATAATGAAGAAAGTTTACACACAGGTGGCCCGTGAGTTGTAACCAACAAAGGGATGTATTTTGTTAAGTTTGTGTTTCTTTGTACCTAAGACCCAAAGATAGGAAATGAAAGGTAGATAGAAAGGACTGTTTGTTTCCAAAAAATAGGAAAGTATATTCCTTGCATATATGAGATACATCTGTGTGTATGTAATATGCAAGGAGCTGTCTGCTGAACTCACATCAGAGTGTGTTGGAAGAATGTTCACAGTGCATGTTCAAAACAACAAAATAAGGCTGGGCATGGTGGCTGAAGCCTGTAATCCCAGCACTTTGTGAGGCTGAGGTGAGAGGATTGCCTGAGTCCAGGGGTTCGAGACCAGCCTGGGTGACTTGCTGAGACCTTGTCTCTACAATAAGTCAAACAATTAGCTGGGCATAGTGGCACAAGCAAGGAGTTCCAGCTACTTGGAAGGTTGAGACGAAAGGATCACCTGAACCCAGCAGGTTGAGGCTGCAGTGTTCATGAACGTACCACTGCACTCCAGCCTGGGCAACAGAGTGAGACTCCAACTCAAAAACAAACAAACAAAAGACCACAATAAACCATGTTTCTAAGAAAAGTTTTTCTAATACTTGGATAGTATATTCTGGGGAAGACTTTTTTAAAAAGACAGGATTAGCTAAATGATTTAGGTTTCTTGGTGACTCTGAGGCCAATTCTTCTAGAATAAGGTAGAGCATACACTAAATAGGACATGAGACAAAGAGTGAGATTTGCCTGTCTCATGAGATCCATTTAACTCATTTGTAGACATCGCTTTAGAGGCATTTTCTCGGCCTGCACATATCAAAAGGAGAGACAGACCTCTTCACAGCTTAAAACCAGAATTTCTGATAAAGGAGTTTGGTTGCCACTGATCTCTCCATCTCCTGTGGAATTAGTCTGGAGTGGCTACCATGAGTTGGTTTAAGTGAACATAAGCATAGGTCAGGGAGCAAAGTCTCCAGACATCTCAAATCTGGATTCTCCAGGCAGTGGCTTCCATCTCGGCCCTACAGCTGATTAACGCAGTTCATCGTCTCAGTTCTGCAGTAGTGACCTGGGAAAAGCTGGGGATATTTTCACCTTATTTATTACAAATGATTTAGTTGACACATTCATAATTCAACAGATATTTCTCAGCCTGAGATATGAAAATCTAAATGCAAACTCGAACACTTGACTCCTTGGATTCGAGTATAATAATTCACATTTAGCCCTACTATATTTCATTTTATATTCAAATCATCATTCCAGCTATGAGGTCTTTTTAGACCCTAATCCTCTCTGTTATGTATTTTCTATCTATATAGTTCATGAATGAGAAGCCTGCAACCTCTGTTGTTACACAAGTTGAAAAAATTAAATGTTGAACAAGACAAGACTTTTCTCCAGCTAAGTTTTAACCTGTTAAACACCATCCTTAAGATATAGTCAGTCGTTCTTCTGTAAGCAATCCTCTTTCTTCGTATTGGCTAAAAAAATGTCTGCTGAAGTTAGTTTACAGATTTCTTGAAAATAGTAAACACCTCAGGATGTGTAATCTGTACCATAGGTGTAAAGGTATTTATCTTTCAAAGCTTTGAAAGATATTTATGACCAAGGTCCAAAAAACTACTCAACAAAGATAATACAGTAGTCATCTATGTGCCAGACCCAAGTGGAATTAGCAGCAGGTGAGCGTATGTTGTTCCTACCTGCCTAGGAGATGTCTTCATTAGGCTAGGTTGTCTAAATGTTTTCCCTTTTAGTTTAAACCCGTGACTTTCAGAGATTACGTACAATGAACGTAAAAGCCACTATAGTACATTGTGGTCCATCTGTCATATCAAATATTTCTTATGATTTTTGCTGACTGGTTATGTCATGAGCATAGAACCATCTGAGAGCAGAATACAAGAAACTAGATGTGGCTATGCTACTGTGAATGAGCAAGAGTTGGATTATTCCAGGCTTTTAAAGCAACTCATTCCTCACGGCCACCTCAACCTCAACCTGCTGGACTCAGGCAGTCCTTCCACCTCAGCCTTCCAAGTAGCTGGAACCACTGGCATGCACCACCACACACAGCTGTTTTTTTGTTTTGGTTTTTGTTTTTTAAATTTATTGTGTAGACAAAGTCTCGCCAAGTTGCCCATGCTGGTCTCGAACCTCTGCACTCAGGCATTCTTCTTGCCTCCACCTCCCAAAGTGCTGGGATTACACAGGCTTGAGCCACCTTACCTGGCCCACCTTGTCTTTTTAATACTGCTAAATCCAATTTCTAAATCAAGCCGTGTCAGGAGAGCAGGACACAGGACGTGAAGAAAATATTGTGACCAAATAAAACAATGACATCCCCACAGCATCCTCAGAAGAGCCTAAAGTCACCTAAACACAGACCGGTGTTTAGGGGGTTATTTTTAGAACCTGGTTACAGGAATACATCAGCACAGGGTTGGGGAGAGTTTTAACATTTTCCATAAAACAGTCCCCTAGGAAGGCACTTTTCATTATCTTTTTGGAAATCTAAGTGCACACCAGGTCCCAGCCTGTGGCCTAGGAAAAGATTCTGAGATAATAAATATCAAGGAAGCTTGAACTATCCTACTTAAAAAGGAAAGGCTAGGAAAGATACTGAGAGCTGATGTTCCTCACAATTGGCCATCTCCCAAGAAACACACTGTGTTGAGCCCTGAGACCCGAGTGGGAGGAATTCATTGACAATGAAATTCCTTAGCACCAAGCTGGAGTCAAAAAGCTTCATTTGCCTTTACTGGGAAGATTTTGCTTTAGCTGATGACTTCCTTGGATTATAACCTCATTTTGGAAAACAATAAAAAGATAGTGGTTTTCTTCTTACAAGGCCATGTAATTTACTTGGCACTTGCCTAATTCTACACGTCTGAAAAGTACACTCCATGGTAAAGATTTCAGCCATATTTGAAGTTACCCAAAAAGTCTTCACAGTGGAAATTCTGTCTATGTAGACTTACCTGTATGCCTATCTAATTTGACACTGTATTTTATTACATGAAGTTTGTTTACAGAAACTTCTAGACAATGGAAGACCCAAACTTCACCTGTACGATGACCACTTATGTACCTAATCCTGAATTATACCCCACAACTTTAAAATAAAATAATAAAAAAAAGAAACCTCTAGACATAAAATTTTCTTGAAAATAGTAAATATCTCAAGCTATGTAATCTACATCATGGACTTGAAGGTGTTTTTCTTTCAAAACTTTGAAAGAGATTTATGGCCAGACTCCAAACTACTTAGAAAACATAATACAATACTCATTAGTGTGCCAGCCTCATAGGAGGTTGGGTAATAAAGGAGAGAAAAAGAGACCCTTGGAGGACGGAGTGGGGAGTTTTGGTGGCGATCCTTTAATTATGTTTGTAGGCACAAATAAATAACAGTTTGATAGTTTTATTCTCACTATTTTTTATATTAAAATACAATGCATTAAATTAATAACCTAAAGATTTTTAAAATAAAGGGTTTTTCATGCTGCCCACTGAAAGTGTACTGGATTAAAAGAATGTGGTACATATACACGATGGAATTTCACGCAGCCATAAAGAAGGACAAAATTATGGACTTCACAGCACCTTTGATGGATTTAGAGTCTATCATACTCAGTGATCTCATAGAAACAAATAACTGAGCACCACATGTTGTCACTCACAAGTGGACTCTGAACATTTATCATAATACTATAAGAAAGGGATTGGCAGTAGTAGATCACTGCCAGGGGAAGGGGGGGTGCATATAACATGAATAAGGGTACCTTGTCCCAAACCAGGCAAAGTGAGGACCAGTGGGTGACCCAGACTTCACTTGCACGGTGACTACTTAAGCACCTAACCATGAATTATACCCCACATTTCACAAGAAAAAAAATACTAAAATAAAATAAAGGTTTTTTGTTGTCTTGGATTAGAAACTGTTAGATAGGTCCTATGTTTTTGAAAATTCCGCACAAACGAATTCAATGGTGACATCAAAAAATATTAGCTATAGATGAACAGGGCCCAGTTATAAATTTATTTCCTTTTAGACTAAGAATCAGTACTAGATTCCTTTTAGAAATTGTCTACTGAGGGGAACATTATCATAAAAAAGAAAATGCAAGAAAATCACTTGTCTTATCTCACATTTGTTTGAGAATATACAATGTTTAGTCCCCTAAAATTTCAAAGGATAGTCATTCCATAAAATATTCTCAATGTGAAAGGCAGTCCAACTAGAGAAAGCGCCAGTTAGACTGTTCATTATATTCAATGTTAATCAGATGGTTATAGTTTAGTAGATCTAAAACTGAGCAGATTAAAGACTTCTTTAACATAAAACAAGAATATGACTGTTTGAGGCTATATCGTTCTTCAAATTACTCAGCTGGCCTCCTCAGAGTTGTATTGCATTCACATGTTTATATACTAAAATCTTAAAGCAATAAAAGTTTTGACTTCCGGTCTCCAAGACTGACAAAACCTAAACCGGCTTATCAGGGACCCTCAAAAGTTAAAAACTATCATTTTCCAATGACATCATTCCCATCAGAGCTTTGTTTTTAACTGGAAGCTGTGCATGTTGAATGGGTACCACATTGGCAACCATGTATCAAGTTTGGGCAAGCAATGCTAATACTGCTGACCATTCTGCTCTTGGAAGAGGGCCGCGCTTTCTGTTGCATGCATACACTGACCCTGTACTTTCTTTCCTTTCCTTTGTTTCCTGTGCCATGCTTGCTGTGTAGCAAATGGAATCTCTTGCAGTAAGTTAACTTTCTTTCATTCTCTTTGTCCATTTAGGCATGGACCCATAACAAACCTTATTTTTGTCATTACTATTATATCTCTTAGCATGTTTCTCCCCCCCCTTTTTTTTTCCATTTGGTTGTTTATTCGGTAGATTGAGACATGGCAGTTTATTAGAGGCATTCTGGGCTGCTTTTGCCCCAAAGTAGAAACCTACATTGCTGTGAATTCTCATGCTGTCAGTGGAATACTCTAAGAACTACCATTATTTGGCACTTAGGGAAGTCAGCATTTTCATAGCTGGGTTTCACCCTGAATTGTGAGGGTAACCTTGTTTTTAAACAAGGCATTTTGTTTATTTGCGAGTTTTTGGCAGTTCTTTTTTTAATCCAGATCTTAAAAGGTTTCCATAAGGAAAAGTTTAAATGATCATAAAATAAAATGTTGTACTCAAACAACCAAACCACAAAACATTTGAGTCAATTAGTGAGTAGAGCTACTTCTTTAAATTTGGGCTTGTTTTGAGTTTTGAGAGATCAAATCAATCTAAGCAGAGTTGCTTTTCCCCTAAGGAGCATGGAAGGGCTGGGAACTTTATTCGGCATCATCTTAGCATGAATTGAGTAACCACTAGGAATTAGGATCAGAAGTCTGTTAATAATATCAGTTGAAATATTCTTCCTAAAACCAAAACTTAAATACTTGTGATTTCTCTCCTTAAACTGATGTGAGGGAACAATTTTAAGCCACCTCAATTCTGAGGTGAGTTCTTCATTGTCCTTAGTAAAAGACAGGACTTATTTATCCTACCCCATTTGAAAACTGAACAGTGACGCCTTTATTTTAAATCACATATTTAAGTCACTGTCACTGTTGACTGCTGGCTGTGAAATTCTACCCGTGAAGCCCGTTCTTTTCTTTTCACAGAATCCCACCCACTACCTATGGAGCTAAGCCATTCTTGGAATAAAATAGGCAAAGTGTAGAGGATCCAGCTCAAAGACTAGTCTGATCATTGGCTTTGGAATTATTCATGACCTTTTGCCTCATAGTATACATAAGCCGTGTCATGGAAACATTTTCAATTCCAGAGGTATCTATGGGGCTCAAGGACCATTTTATATTGTTACGTTTGAACATTCCTTCCACAGAGAGCACTTTGGGCCCCTTTTTATATCTGTTTAAATCAACAAATATTTATTGAGCATCAGTAAACCTGATATAGTACCTTCGAGGACCACGTGACTCTTGTCTTCATATAGACTTTGGGATAAGTGTCTGCACCCTCAAGGGAGCCAAACTGTCACATGGTATAACCTCCCAAGCCCAGGCATCTACTGAACATATAAGTTTAACGCCTAGAACTACTTATGCTTCCCTTTCAAACATATCTTCAATTAAAAAAAACTGTTATAAAAAAAAAAAAAAAAAAAACCAGCCGGGCTCCGTGGATTACAGCCTGTAATCCCACACCTTTGGGAGGCTGAGGTGAGTGGATTGCCTGAGCCCGCGGGTTCGAGACCTGCCTGGGCAGCGAGACCTCATCTCTACAATAAATCAAAAAATCAGCTGGGCATGGTAGCATATGCCTGTAATTCCGGCTACTTGGAAGGCTGAGGCGGAAGGATCGCCAGAGCCCAGCAGGTCGAGGCTGTGGTGGCCGGGAGCGGTCACTGCACTCCAGTCTGGGCAACCGAGTGAGACTCCAACTCAAAAAAACCCAAAAAAAACAGCTTATAAAAATTAAGACAACCAGTTATAATTTGTAGGTATTTCACTGGTAAGTCTAGCAGAAAGTTGGCAGGTCACTCAGTTTCTTCATGGGTGCTGCACTCTGATTAGTCATCTTCATCACATAGGATATAATAATCTATATTGTACAATGGATTTCACACTGATATTTATTGACTGGGTTTTGTTTTTGTTTTCTTTGGAATGATAACAGCTAGTTATGTTTTCTTAATTTAAAAAAAAGAAAAGTTGTCTCCACTGAGATTTCACTAGTTATTCGAGAATGATCCTTAATCACTATTTCTTCCCATGCAAATTCTCTCTTTAGCAATTGGAACTGTGTCAGAGATTATATAAGCTGCACTTCCAGCTGCTGTTGCTTTTTCAGTCCTACTGTAAGCTCATCGGCCAAGTGCACGAAGTTAGCTCCATGCCAGAGGTGAGTCCACATGCTTCCCCCCCCGAGTCCTGCCACTAAAATCATGTCTTTTGTTCTTCCTCACCCCACCTCTTACAACTGTCCGAGTGATTTTTATCCCCACATAATTATTTTGCTCAAGTAAATGTCTGAAATAAATGTGCCTTGTATTCATTTCTGTTCTCATTTTTTAAAAGCAGGGTCAGAGGCCAGACACGGTTCCTTAGGCCTGTAATCCCAGCATTTGGGGATGCTGAAGTGGGAGGATCGCTTGAATCCAGGAATTTGAGACCAGCCTGGGCAACATAGCAAGACCTTGTCTCTACAAAAAAAATTTTTAAGTTAGGGAAAGAGAATTAGTATGACAAACCTGCAATCCCAGCTACTTGGGAGGCTGAGGCAGGAGGATTGCCTGAGCCCAGGTGGTTGAGGCCGCAGTGAGCTGTGATTGTGCCACCGCACTCAGCCTGGGTGACAGAGTGAGACCCTGACTCAAAAGTAACAATTTTTTAAAAATCAAGGTTCAGACTAGGTGAGGAAACTTGAGATGCTTCTAAGTTTAAAGACTTTCTAAGAGAGCACTGTCCTATGTGTTACCTCCTACGTGCCTCGCTTGAATCACTTTGATCCTGGCTCTCAAGTTGGGCATTCTTATAGGAAAAATGTCCTTGTGTTGTGGTTTTTATTGTTTATATTTAGCTATTCATATTTGCCCTTACATTGAGGTAAGAAGGAAACCTTTATATGATGTTTGATTCTCTTCATTTTCCCTGCTCTACTTAGCATCAGTATATTTTCATATTTTTTAAGGTAAAGAGTAAAATAATTTAAACATGCACCTGCTGAGTGAGTCAGCATTTTCCTACCAGTGAAAAAATACTACTGTAATGCAGCCTAGTCAAAGAATGATTATGGAAGCACAGAGGATAATTGCCCAATTTGCCTAGCCGTGAGAAAGGTTAATATTGGACAGATTTCTGGAGGAAATCACACCCGGTAGACTTTTTTTTTTTTTTTGGAAAGTAGGATTTATTGAGAGGGCAGAAACACTCCCAGAGTGGGAGGGGACCCGAGGGGGTTGCCCTCCCAGCGGACTCTTAAAGGATGAATGAGAGTTAGGAGAATGATCTCCTAATTAGAGTTAGGAAGAACCTTCCAGTGAGAACACACAGTCTGACCATAAATCTGGTGGTAAGGAGGAGAAGGCGCTCCAAGCAATCTAGTATAGCCAGAATATAACATGCAGGCCAAAAAGGAATGACAAGATAAGGCGGAAGAGGGGTAAGGACACAATCATAAAAGATGCTATGCCGAGGAGGACTCTAGTTAGATGTCGACGGCAGCTATCCAGAAGGTGAACTTGAGGACAGCTGGACCGGAGATGTGGAGACCAGTTAGGAGGCTGCTGAAACAGCTGAGACAGGAGGAGAGAGTCTGAACTCAGAAGCACTAGGTATGGAGAGGAGGAAGGAAATGAAGCTCAGGACAAGAGAGGAATGAAACCAGTGAGGGATAAGAGGGAGGGAAAAGTCCAGAGTAACGCTCAGGTTCCATCTCAGATGAGCCAGGAGGTTAGTGGTGCCGTAGCTGAGACCGGGGGTGTAAAAGAAGGACTGAGGTCATGGTACACCCAGGCAGCCAAGCCTTTGCCTGCTAGTTAGTGGCTGAGCCTACCTGCTGGGCCAGGACCTGCCTTAAGGAAAACTGATCTCTTGCCAGTGGTTATTTGTGAGGGTCTGGGGTCAGGGGAAAGGTCTGGATGAAGGGCACAGATGGGGTCGTGGTCATGAACAAGCAGGAGCCGATGAAGCCATCCCAGTGACGGCAGAGAAAGGAGGGTGAAAACTGGAAATCCTCACCCTCTGAGTGGGTGGAAGAGGCGGAGCCACAAGAGGAGGGAAAAGACATTCTACCATTTTTTTATTACTCAGTTTGAAAAAGGAATAAAATTATACAAATTCTAACTATACTTGCAAATGCTTCTTTCAAGGGAGGATTCAAGGATGAATTAGAGTTAGCAAAATGAGAATGAAGTGAGGCTATGGAGGATACACAGCCTGGCCATGAACCTGGTAAGGAGGAGAGGGAGCACTAAGCAGTCTAGTATAACCAGAATATAACATGCAGACCAAAAAGGAATGACAAGATAAGGCGGAAGAGAGGGGTAAGGCCAAAGAGGATTCAGACTCTCAAACCAGTTTTCTTCCATTAGACTTGTAGGTTATCCAATCAAAGATAAAACAGTTGATACCGGTTATTTGCCACATGGTCAAGATAAAGTTTACTCTTCTTATTCATCTAAGCAGGTATTAACAGGAATCTTAGTGTCATCTTTGCCCAGGAAATAGAGGGCCTGCAAATGCAACTCACAAGTCATTTTTCATATTTAAAAAACAATCAGTTTCATGTTAGAAAAGTAAATTATGTTTCACACTGTGTGTATGTGTGTGTGTGTATATGTAGCATATGTGTGATTATTTTCAATCTAGTGAATTACTCCTTAGTTATTATAAGTCTAGGTAAGTTTTAAATACTATATGTACGTTATAATTACTGGATGAACAGGCATGCTTCATTTTACTGTGCTTTGCAGATACTGTGCTTTTTGCAAATTGAAGGTTTGTGGCAACTCCGTGTCGAGCAAGTCTGTTGGCACCATTTTTCCAACAGCATGTGCTCGCTTCACGTCTCTCCCATTTTGGTACTTCTCACAATATTTTGACCTTTTTCATTATGGTTATATCTGTTACCGTGATCTGTGATCTTTGGCGTTGCTATTGAAATTGTTTTGGGCATCACAAACCATGCTCATATAGGACAGTGAACTTGATCAATGTTGTGTGTGCTCTGAGTGTTCCACCAACTGGCCATTCCCTCATCTCTCTCCAACTACCCTGGCCTCCCTAGTCCCTGAGACACCACAATATTGAAATTAGGCCAGTTAGTAACCCTACAGTGGCCTTTAACTGTTCGAGGGAAAGGAAGAATAACATGTCGCTCACTTTGAATCAAAACCTACAAATGAATATGCTTAGTAAGGAGGGCATGATAGAAGCCAAGACAGGCTAAAAGCAGGCCTCTAATGCCAAACAGTTAGCCAAGGTATGAATGCAAAGGAAAAGTTCTTGAAGGAAATTTAAAGTGCTACTCCAGTAAACAAGTGAACAATAAGAAGACGAAACAGGCTGGGCTCAGTGGCTCAGCCTGTAATCCCAGCACTTTGGGAGATAAGACAAGTGGATTGCCTGAGCCTGCGGGTTCAAGACCAGCCTAGGCAACTTGGCGAGACCTCATCTCTACAATAAATCAAAAATTAGCTGGGCGCAGTAGCGTGTACCTGTAGTTCCGGCTACTTGGAAGGCTGAGGCAGAAGGATCACCAGAGCCCAGCAGGTCAATGCTGGAGTGGCCATGAGTGTGCCAAGGCACTCCAGCCTGGGCAGCAGAGTGAGATTCCAACTCAAAAAAAAAGTAGAAGAAGAAGAAGATGAAACAGCTTTATTGCTAACATAGAGAAAGTTTGAGTGATCTAGACATAAGATCAAACCAGCACCCCATGACTTTAAGCCAAAGCCTAATAGAGAGCAAGGCCCTAACTCTCTTCAATTCTATGAATGCTGAGAGAGGTAAGGAAGCTGGAGAAGAAAAGTTGGAAACTAACAGAATTTGGTTAATGAGGATTAAGGAAAGCAGTAGCTTTATAGCATAAATGCATAAGGGGAAGCAGTAAGTGCTGAGGGAAAAGCTTCTACAAGTTATCCAGAAATCTAGCTAAGATAACTTTGAAAGGTGGCTACACCAAACAACAGGTTTTCAGTGTAGACAAAACAGCCTTTTACTAGAAGAAGATACTACTATCTAGGAGTTTCATAGCTAGAGAGGAAAAGTCACTGCCTGGTTTCAAAGGACAGGTTGATTCTCTTGTGAGAGTCTAATGCAGCTGGTGACTTGAAGTTGAAACCAATGCTCACTTATCATTTTGATAGCATAGAGCTCTTAAGGATTATGCCAAATCTCTTCTGCCTGTGCTCTATAAATGGAAAAACAAAGCCTAAATGGCTGCACATCTGTTTACAGCATGACTTACTGAATATTTTAAATCCACTGTTGAGACTTATACTGCTCAGAAAAAAAAAATTCCTTTCAAAATATTACTGCTCATTGACAACACATCTGGTCACTCAAGAGCTCTGATGGAGATGTCCAAGGAGATGAAGGTTCCATTTCTGATAACACAACATCCCTTCTGCAGCTGATAGATTATGGAGTCATTTTAACTTGCTGTTTAAGAAATACAGTTCTTTTTTTTTTTTTGAGTTGGAGTCTCACTCTGTCGCCGAGACTGGAGTGCAGTGGCCGCTCCCGGCCACTGCAGCCTCGACCTGCTGGGCTCTGGCGATCCTTCCGCCTCAGCCTTCCGAGTAGCCAGAATTACAGGTGCGCGCTACCACTAGCCCGGCTAATTTTTGATTTATTGTAGAGATGAGGTCTCGCTGCCCAGGCGGGTCTCGAATCCGCGGGCTCAGGTAATCCACTCACCTCAGCTTCCCAAAGGCGCAGGATTACAGGCTGAGCCACCGAGCCCAGCTAAGAAATACAGTTCTTAAGAATATAGCTGTCACAGATAGTGATTCCTCTGATGGATCTGGGCAAAGTACATTGAAAACCTCGTGAAAAGGCTTCTCCATCTAAATGCCTTTAAGAACATTAATGATTCATGGGAGGATGTCAAAATATCAACGTTAACAGGAGTTTGGAAGGAGCTGACTCTAGCTTTCATGAATGACTGAGGAGTTCGAGACACCTGTGGAGAAAGTCACTGCAGTTGTGGCAGAAATTGCAAGAGAATTAGAAGTGGAACCTGACAATGTAACTGAATTGCTGCAGTCTCATAGTAAAACTGAAATGTTGATTCTTATGGATGGGCAAAGAAAGGAGTTTCTTCAGACGGACACTACTCCTGGTGAAGATGCTGTGGACATTGTTGAAATAACAACAAAGGACTTAACAGTGTTACATAAATTTAGCTGATAAAGCAGCAGCAGAGTTTGAGAGGATTGACTCCAATGCTGAAAGATGTTCTACTGTGGGTAAGATGCTATCAAACAGCATCGCATGCTACAGAGAAATCTTTCCTGAAAGCAAGAGGCAGTTGATGCAACAAACTTCGTTGTTATCTTATTTCAAGAAATGGCCACAGCCACCCTCATCTTCACCAGCCACCAGCCTGATCAGTCAGCAGCAACTACCTGATCAACATTGAGGCAGGGCCCTCCACCAGCAAAAAGACTACAACTAGATGACCGTTAGCATTTTGTAGCAAGAAAGTGTTTTTTAATTAACTTTGTATATTTTGCTTTTGGACATAATGTTGCTTAGTAGAAAATACAACTTTTATGTGCACTGGGAAATAAAAAATTGTGTATAACTCACTTTATTATGATATTCACTTTATTGTAGTGGTCAAGAACTAAACCTGCAATATCTCTGAGACATGCCTATGTGTGTCTATACAGAGGGTGCCAAAAAAGTTTGCACATTTTAAGAAAGGAAAAAACTGTATTAAAAGTATAGGTGGGCTGGTCTTGGTGGCTCAGCCCATAATCCCAGCACTTTGGGAGGCCAAGGAGAATGGATTGCCTGAGCCCGCGGGTTCGAGACCTGTGAGAGCAACTTGGCAAGACCTCGTCTCTACAATAAATAAAAAATTAACCAGGCATGGTAGCACATGCCTGCAGTTCAAGCTACTTGGAAGACTGAGGTGGAAGGATAGCCGGAGCCTAGCAGGTCCCTGCACTCCAGCCTGGGCAACAGAATGAGAATCCAACTCAAAAAAAAAGAAGTGTAGATGACTCCAAGTCACATTTGACTTCTGCAATCACAAGAGGTGCTCAAAGTGGTTACCATCAGCATCCAGACACTTTTGATTACAGTGAACTAAGCAATACATAGATAACATCTCTTAAAATGTGTATACATTTTGGCACCCCCAATATATGCACACACGTAGTGTTTAAATACTATATATATGTGTGTTTTTTTAATGTGTATTTATATACATATACACACAATGCTTAAAATTTACCTAGGTTTAAAACAAGGAGAAATTAACTTTCAAACTTAACATGATATATAAAATCAAGACACTCTAATATCTTATTTTAAAAGATCGCTTCAGTACATCTTAAACCTAGCTCTAGAGCAGCTGAGTATATTTAACAGACATCTATGTGAAGACTAATAGTGCTGAAGAGCTTCAGTTTGGGGAGGTTTTTTTGAGTTAGAGTCTCACTCCATTGCCCAGGCTGGGGTACAATGGCACACTCACGGTCACCCCAGTGTCGACCTGCTGGGCTCTGGCGAATCTTCTTCCTCAGCCTTCCAAGTAGATGGAACTACAGGTGCACGCTACCACACCCAGCTAATTTTTATTTATCATAGAGACGAGGTCTTGCCAAGTTCTCCGGGCTAGTCTCAAACCCACAGGCTCAGGCAATCCACTCGCCTCGGCCTTCCAAAGTGCTGGGATTACAGGCTGAGCCACCGTTTTATAGCTGGTATGAGTGAGCTGGCAAGGAAGAGAAATAAAGATGTGGAATAAATACCTTGCCAAAAAAAAACCAGGCGTTGTCAACTGATTAAAAGGGGGAAAAAACCCTTTAATTTCATGTTATTATTATTATTATTTTTTTGAGTCAGAGTCTTATTACTACGTCACCCTGGCTGGAGTGCATGCTCATAGCCATCCCAGTGTCGACTTGCTGGACTCAGGCAATCCTTTTGCCTCAGCCTTTCAAGTAGCTGGAACTACAGGTGCAAGCTACCATGCCTGGCTAATTTTTTTTGGATATATTGTAGAGAGACAGTCTCACCAAGTTGCCCAGGCTGATCTCGAACCCCTGGGCTCAGGCAGTCCTCTCGCCCCAACCTCCCAAAGCACTGGGATTACAGGCTTGAGCCACTGTGCTCGGCCTCTGTTAATTTTTTAAAACTCTTGAGATCAACTAGCAAAAGAGTTTTGCTCCATAGCGTATTGGGGGAAACTCAGAAGAGATATAGGTTTTCACTTACAATTTACTTTTGAACACTGGATCTGTGGGTTCCAGTTAACTTTAAGGGAAAATATCTTTTACCTCTGTAGCATTAACATTACTTTAAGATTATTCCTCCTGCTGCTCAAAATTGTGTCTTCAATCTCTTTCCATGGCATAGAACAAACAAGGAGAAAAACTTGTTACAACAGCGTCCGTGGTCTTGATATTTATGGAGCTCTTAGGTGCCAAACTTTACTAAACATTTTATGGACCCTATTTCTTTTAATTTTTAAAATAAACCTGTGAGGCAAATAATATCTTATCTCACAGATGAGAAAACTAAGGCACATAAAAAGATCTATTATGTGTCTGTGTTCCCAGAGTATATTGCAGAATCAGGATTCAAACTCAGATCTAGCTAGCTCTTGGGCCTGTTATCTTGTGTACTTTCTCTCTGCATGCATGCCCTTTATTTTTATTTTTATCCTGAGACAATCAATGCATATATGCCATTTCAAATAGAAAACATTTTAAGTTTTAATCTTGTCTACAAGGTGATAATCCTGGCTGCTGACACAAAGCTATCCAGTGCATACATCCCCCCAATTCCCTCTACGTGTCATCTGCAGTACTGTGTCACCTGTCCTATTTTAATTTACCAAGGTATTATTAGGCTTGTGCTTCAGCAGATCCATGCAATCAAAAGAATTTTTATATAGGTTTTTTTTTTTTTGGTGGAGACCATGTCTTACTACGTTACCCAGGCTGGTCTTGAAATCCTGATGCAAGCAATCCTCCCACCTCAGCCTCCCAAAGTGCTTGAATTACAGGCATGAGGCACCCGGCCCGTGCAATTAAACTTCCTTCCTTTAAGTATGTAAAATTCTCCTTATATTTAAATCCAGTTTAAAAAAATTTTTTTTGTTTTAAACAGCTGCTGAATATGTCCAGGGAATTGAGTGATCTAAAGAAACACCTAAAGGAAGCCACAGCGGCCATTGCAGCGGACCCTGTCTACGCAGAGGGCGCCTGGTCTGAGCCGACCTTCACCTCCACTGAAGCAGCCATCCAGTCCATGCTGGAGTGCCTGAAGAACAATGAACTTGGCAAAGCTCTGCGGCAAATCAGGGAATGCAGGTGACTCTGCCGTTTCTTTTAGAGGTGGTTACAGGAATGCACACCGTCATGACTCTGTCCTGCCTTGGGACTAGCTCACTGTGGAAGGCACGTCTAGATACGTTCTATGTCTCTTCTCAGACCTTTATTGTTGCCACGCCAGAAACACTGAGCTTTCAGAACTTAGCCACTAGAAGTATTGGTGTCGGTTCTGGTCATTTGTCATCCCTGATGACTTCAAAATATCCCTTTATGTAATTTTAAATTAACATTTCAATGCCATCATTTTGGGGTATTTTGCCTTACCATTTGATACTGTTTTCGCATTGGAATCAGAATGCCATAGCAAATGAGGTAAATGTTTTAAGGATATCACATTGCGCCAGGTGTGGTGGCGTGCACCTGTAATCCCAGCACTTTGGAAGGCTGAGGCAGGAGAACTGCTTGAGCTCAGGAGTGCAAGACCAGCCTAGTCAACATAGCGAGACCTCATCTCTACAAAAAATCAGAAACCAAGCCGGGCTCAGTGGCTCAGCCTGTAATCCTGTGCCTTTGGGAGACTGAGGTGAGTGGATTGCCTGAGCCCGTGGGTTCGAGACCCACCTGGGCAACTTGGCGAGACCTCATCTCTACATAAATCAAAAATTAGCCAGGCGTGGTAGCGCGCGCCTGTAGTTCCAGCTACCTGAAAGGCTGAGGCCGAAGGATCGCCGGAGCCCAGCAGGTCGTCAAGGCTGCGGTGGCCGGGAGTGGCCACTGCACTCCAGTCTGGGCAACAGAGTGAGACTCCAACTGAAAAAAAAAAAATCAGAAACTTAGCCAGGCATGGTGGCATGTGCCTGTAGTCTTAGCTAACCTGGAGGGTGAAGTGGAAGGATTGCCTCATCCCAGGAGGTCAAGGCCGCATGAGCCGTAATTTGTGCCACTGCACTCCAGCCTGGGCAACAAAGTGAGACCCTGACTCAAAACCAAAAAAGTATCATATTCCATTCTGTTACTTTTATGTATTACACGTGTTTTGATCTTTTATCAAAACAATATTCATTATTCCAAAATTGATTACAGTGGTGTTTGCACAACTCTGAATATACCAAAACCTACTGAATTATATACTTTAGATGAGTGAATTATGTGGTATGAGAATTATATCTCAATAAAGCCTTTTGAAAAAAAAGGAGAAAGGATTTTTTTTTGAGTCAGAGTCTCACACTATCACCCAGGCTGAAGTGCAGTGGCACGACCACAGCCACCACAGCCTTGACTTGCTGGGCTAAGGCAATCCTTCTACCTCAGCTTTCCAAGTTGCTGGAACTGGAACTAAGGCTATGCTTTGATTTATGGTATAGATGACGTCTCGCCATGCTGCCCAGTCTGGGTCTCAAACTCCTGGACTCAGGAAATCCTCTTGCCTCTGCCTCCCAAAGTGTTGGGATTATAGGCATGAGCCACCGCATCCGGCCTAGGAATATTCTTCTATGAACAAAGACTCATAGGCTCCCAACTTCGTGACCGATTGTGCCTCTAATCTGTGATGTTCTTTTTGACTGCAGAAGTCTGTGGCCCAATGACATCTTTGGAAGCAGTTCTGATGATGAGGTCCAGACATTACTGAATATTTATTTCCGTCACCAAACTCTGGGACAGACGGGTACTTACGCGCTGGTGGGGTCTAACCAGAGCCTGACTGAAATCTGCACCAAGCTGATGGAGCTGAACATGGAGATTCGGGACATGATCCGCCGGGCGCAGAGTTACCGGGTACTCGCTGCTTTTCTTCCAGACTCCAGTGTCTCCGGCACTAGTCTCTGACAGGAGCCTCCCACCCGCCCTGGGCTCCAGGCTGGCGGTGCTGCCATGCTGGGGCGAAGTCATTCAGTGTCTTCTCAGCCTTCAAAAGGCTTGGACAGACTGTTCTCCCTCTTGTTACCTGTAGGGCTTTTTCTCAAGAGGATGGCAGAACTTCCCACATGCAGCAATACTATAAGAACCGAGGTAGCTGGGAACCTCCGGGGACAGACTCCACCCGTCATGCTGTGTGGCACCAACGTGTGACTGAGCATATGCAACTCACTACTGAAGAAGTGACTTTCATTGCATACCAAAGCCGACGACACTGAACAACTACCTTCCTTTCTAGAAACGATTTTAGATTGGCAAAAGTGCAATGTTTTCTTTGCTAAAAAAAAATTTATATTCTAAAACTTGTACATTCTTCCCTTTTTTCCTTCTACAGAATCTTGTTCTTTTTCTTTTTTTGGTGGGCTGAGAAAGAGGCAGGCAGAATGAAGCTGGCCACTGAGAACTGTAAGACGGTCCAAAGCTGACAGCCTGTGTCTGCAAAAAGGGAATTGTAAATGGACTCCAATTTAATGTACACTGTAATTTGAGTACAATTACTGTAACTAAAAGGAGCTGCTACGAATTACCTTTCTTATGTTGCTAGGCTACTGTTTCCGAAGGCCCTGGGTCTCTTTGCACCAAAAGTGGTCCGGGTAGATGCTTTTTAAGGATCTTGGCTGCTTTTTACTAGAAGGTTGCTTTTATGAGTATATTTATACTACAGAAGGATGAGTGTTCATTTTAATTAATTTTGCCATTTTGTAGAGAAAGATTATTCACGATATAAATTCCAAGTATTTTCACCTGTTGCGCATGCATCTTTTAATATCCATTTGGATAGCCAGAAGTAGAATCATAAAGGTAAAACATGAGTTGTTGCTTTGTTTCTTAAGAAATGTCATATTTTATTTGTAATATATATGCAAAGGGCCATCCCTAAGTTCTCTCCTTAAACCTAATGCTGTCAAACGTTAGATGTGTGCATGTGAACTTGTTGCACATCAGAACATATTCGAAGTTTATCTATGTAACTTATTCACTCTGTAAATACATTTAAAGTTTTGTGATGTCATCTTAATTGATATTCTGTTCAGAATTTTCTTTAGACTAAAAAAAAAAAAAAAGACAAAATACATGTTGACCATGGATTTTATTTCTGTTTAATGAAAATGTTTGCCTTCAGGCCGGGTTCAGTGGCTCAGCCTGTAATCCCAGCACTTTGGGAGGCCGAGGTGAGTGGATTGCCTGAGCCCACGGGTTCAAGACCAGACCAGGTAAATTGGTGAGACTTCGTCTCTACAATAAAAAAGAAAAAAAAATGTTTGCCTTGAACACACATGAAGCTTTGCGTGTGGGTTGCCACAGTGAAAATCCCAGAGGGCACCATTCACATGTATGCTATGAATGGTACCCATGGGGGTCATGCAGTGCACGGCCCTGTGAACTGGACGTAAGTATAACATTTTTGAAAGTGGACACCAACCAGACTGTGATCTTCAACCAGTGCTCTCTGTAACCAACCAAAGAGCAAAATCAGAAAAGAGTGACCTATCATTAGGTTATTGTCTTTAAGATTTTTAGAGTCTGAAATGAGCAGAAAAAACCAGGAGAAGTTTCCATTCTGTGACCAACACCTATCTATTCTCTATCCCCACTAGAAAAACAGGAACACGCAGAGAGAGACGCAACAATCTAATTTATACTGTCTTCTGACTCATATTGTGCTTGGACTAGCAAATACAACTTGCTTGGCCAGCATACAACACTGAATCATTAGGGGTAATTTTCCAGGAGTATCCTGCATTGGGAGTCTAATCCAGAATTTTTTGTCATCACAGATACAACTACTAATCTATTTTAAAATGTTTCCAGATTGCTATAAACATATTCTGGTGATTAATTTTTTTCAACTTACCTAAATGATTATTTGCTGTGATTTGTAGAAAACAACTGAATCACCTCTCTCTGAAAAATGCCTTGTAAAATAAAGGTTTCTGTGGGTAACCACAGTAACCAACTTTCAGAGTTTTGTTGGGAGCCACAGTAAGAAGGACTGATTTGCCGTGAATGAATTTTCCACCAGGCCCTGTGAACCGGCAGAGAAGCATTGTGATGATTTTCCTCTTTAAAAAAAGGAAAGCCAGGCATGGTGCCTCATGCCTGTAATCCCAGCACTTTGAGAGGCTGAGATAAGAGGATTGCTTGAGCCCAGGACTTCGACACCAGCCTAGGCAACATAGCAAGACCTCATCTCTACAAAAAAAAAAAAAAAAAAGCCAGGTGTGGTGGCATGTACCTGTAGTCCCAGCTACTGGGAGGCTGAGGCAGAAGGATCACCTGAGCCCAGGAGGTTGACAAGGCTGCAACAAGCCATGACTGTGCCATTGCACTCCAGCCTGGGTGACAGAGTGAGACTACAACTCAATAATTTTTTAAAAGGAAAGAATTTCAACAGTGCATTGTAATCTGGCATATTAAATTGTAGTCATAGGAAATAATGGGTTTTGTCTTTTTTCTTTTCTTTTCTTTTTTTGAGTTGGAGTCTTACTCTGTTGCCCAGACTGGAGTTCAGTGGCACGCTGCTCACGGCCACCACAGCCTCGACCTGCTGGACTCAGACAATCCTTCTTCCTCAGCCTTCCAAGTAGTTGGAACTACAGGCATGTGCTAGTAGACAAAGCTGGAACTACAGGCATGTGTAGAGACGAAGTCTTGTCAAGTTGCCCAAGCCAATCTCGAGACCCTGAACTCAGGCAATCCTCTGGCCTCTGCCTCCCAAAGTGCTGAGATTACAGGCATCAAAAAAGAAGATGCGTTCACGTGAAAGATTTTTTTCCTCCATTTCCTCACCTCCTCTCCCTGGAGTGCAGGTGGGAAAAATTGTCCAGATAGGATAGACATAACTTGATTTAAAGCACAGTCTCCAAATACAGTGTTTTAGGGAAAAAAAACATACATTTTAGAGACATGTGAATGTCTTATTCCCACCAGTAGGTGAGACATTAAGAAAATGTGTTCATGCAGCTGTGAAATAAAGATGCTTGTGACTGTGGGTAGTGCACACACAGACAGGTTAGGTCGTAAGGCTCTTCTGGTTAAAAATCCTAACAAACATTGATCTTTTCAGTGAATTGTAGAATTCTAGAATGAATAAGAGTACTTCCAGGCTTCTTAGATCCATAGCTTACACCTGCTTCCAAATACCTGCCTTAACATCAAACAAGTGCCCACAGGTGAATATTATGCTGTGTTCATGACATCTCAATAAAGCTGGTTTTTAAAGTTTTCAGTGCATTAACTTTGGATCGGTTAATTTCGAATACCTATCACGAGTCAAGATATTTTCTCCAGCAAATATTTATTGTGTGCCCATTGTGGGCTAGGCACTGTTTTAGAGGATGTGACAGTTATCAAAACAGATGTGCTCCCTGTTCTCATGGGGGCTCGTACATTTTAGTGAGGGAAGACATGCTTGTCTATGTCCAGTGATGCTGAGTGTCATAAAAGACAATAAAACAGGGATAGAGAGTAGGGCACCCTGGGGCTGTTTTAGGAATGAAGTGGGGATACAACATGTTTATCTAATGGAAAAAGCATTCCAGCCCAGGAAAAACGTGCAAGGATCTGGAGGCAGGAGCAGGATCACTTTGTTGGTTCAACCAATACAGGGACCAAGTAATAATGAGAGGAGAGGACGGCCGAAAGGGCTCTGTGGGCCACAGAAAGGACTCCTTTGCTGAGTGAGACAGAAAGCCACTGGATGTCTGGGAATAGAGCAATGATGTGCTTTAACTTATTTTAAAAGAATTATTCAGAAATGATGAAAACGCCCGGGAACTAAAAGTTCTATGGTGGTAATCGCATAAGATTGTGAATGTACTTAATTCCAATAAACTATGTACTTAAAAATGGTAAAGTTCAGCCGGGCTCGGTGGCTCAGCCTGTAATCCCGTGCCTTGGGAGGCTGAGGTGAGTGGATTGCCTGAGCCCACAGGTTCGAGACCCACCTGGGCAACTTGGTGAGACCTCATCTCTACAATAAATAAAAAATTAGCCGGGCGTGGTAGCACGCACCTGTAATTCCGGCTACTCAAAAGGCTGAGGCAGAAGGGTCACCGGAGCCCAGCAGGTCGAGGCTGCGGTGGCCAGGAGCGGCCACTGCACTCCAGTCTGGGTGACAGAGTGAAACTCCAACTCAAAAAAAAAAGGTAAAGTTCATGTTATATATGTTTTACTACGATAAAAATAATTTTTCTTAAAAAAGGATCATGCTGGGCCAGGTGTGGTGGCTTGTGCCTGTAGTAATCCCAGAATTTTGGAAGGCCAAGGTGAGAGGATTGCCTGAGCCCAGGGGTTCGAGACCAGCCTGGGCAACATAGCGAGACCTCGTCTCTACAATAAATCAAAAAAATTAGGTGTGGTGGTGTGCACCTGTATTCCCAGCTACACCGGAGGCTGAGGAGGAAGGATTGTCTGAGCCCAGCAGGTCAAGGATGCAGTGGCCATGAGTGTGCCACTGCTCTCCAGCCTGGGCAACAGAGTAAGACTCCAACTCAAAAAAAACCCAAAAAACACAAAGTCACCCTGACTGCTATGTGCAGAATAGACTGCAGATGGGCGGAGGCTGGAAGGCCAGATAGATGGCTGTGACAATGGTGCAGTCACCAGATGATGCTGGCTTGGCTAGGGTAGTAGCCACGGAGGTGAAATATTACCAAGGTAGATAAGGAAGTGCATGTTTGGGAGGTGGAACTCAAGATTTAGTCTTCAGACATGTTAACTTTGAGATACCCATCAGACATCCAAGACAAGACAGTGAATCAACAGGTGAATATGCAAGTCTGTTGTTGCAGAGAAAGTCTGGGTAAAGACATATACATGGTATTTAAAGCCCCTAAGAAAAAAATAGGACACTCTTCTGTCTTGGCAAGTCAGGAATGGAATCTCACTTGTAAGAATCAGAGCATAGGCAATGAGTTTGAAACCCCAGTTGCATATTAAGTCACATGGGGAAACATAAAACCCCCAATACCCAAGCTTCCTCTTTATTGGCTTAATGGGTCCAAAGCTGTGTTCAAATTCCAGTACTGTTTAAGGTTCTTCAGGTGGTTCTAATCCACTGCCAGGATTGAAACACTGCTTTCAGGGTTCTCGGACCTAAGAATTACCCCAAAGTGATTGTCACAAACGCAGATTCCCTTAGGTTGATTCATCTAGAGACTAGGTTGGTAAACTCAGACCAGGGTCCGCCAAATCATTTGAATATCCAGCAAACATTGAACGACACTGAACTAGGAGAAACTTATCACTGAATATAGCAGAGTGTTGTCTTTAGCAGGGGTCCCCAACCACCAGGCCACAGACCGGTATGGGGTAGCCTGTTAGGAACCAGGCCATACAGCAGGCAAGCAAGCGAAGCTTCATGTGTATTTACAGCCACTCCCCATTGCTCGCATGACCACCTGAGCTCCACCTCCTGTCAGATCAGCGGCAACATTAGATTTTCATAGGAGCACAAAACCCTACTGTGAACTGTATGTGCGTGGGATCTAAGTTGCACACTCCTTAGGAGAATTGAATGCCTGGTAATCTGAAGTGGAGCTGAGGCGGTGATGCCAGCGCTGGGAAGTGGTTGCAAATACAGGTTAACATGAGCTGTGAGGTTTGACTGCACGGAAACTGTCATAAATCAATTGCTCACATACTCATATCAAAACCCTATCAGTGAGTGGCAAGTGAGTTGACATACGTCAATTGCACAGTTGCATCTGATGGCGGGCTTTAAGTCAGAAACTGACAGTTATTTTAGTCTGTGTGTGGCCTGTGGCCTGCCCATTATTTTATTTACCACTTCCAGCCAGTCTTCTTTTTTTTTTTTTTGAGTCAGAGTCTCACTCTGTCACTCAGGCTGGAGTACAGTGGCACACTCACAGCCACCCCAGAGTCAACCTGCTGAGTGCGGGCGATACTTCTGCCTCAGCCTTCCAAGTAGCCAGAACTACAGGCACGTGCTACTATGCTCGGCTATTTTTTTTTTTTTTAATTTATTATGGAGACGAAGTCATGCCAAGTTGCCCGGGCTGGTTTCAGACCCATGGGCTCAGGCAATTCACTCGCCTCGGCCTCCCAAAGTGCTGGGATTACAGGCTAAGCCACCGAGCCGGCCCATTCTTCTTTTTTTATGGTGAGTTGTATAACTATTTCATTATATATTATAATGTAATAATAATAGAAATAAAGTGCACAATAAATATTATGCACTTGAGTCATCCCGAAACCATCCCTCCCCCTTCCCTCGGCCTGTGGAAGAATTGTCTCCCATGAAACTAGTCCCTGATGCCAACAAGGTTGGAGACCACTATTCTAAAGCACACCCCCAACCATTTTTCCATGCAGGTTGTTCGTGCAGTGATTCTACCCAAATCTGTCATTGATCTTTTTGCTACTTTGTTTCATATTTGAGGTCACAGGAAAAGAGTGGCTAGAATTCAACAGATGAATGGATAACCACATCCACTTACAGATCAGTTTCCTGGCAGATACTTCCTTCTCTGTCATCATCTCTTCTAGTTCAGATCCTGCTTTTTTTTTTTTTAATTGACAAATAATAACTGACAAGTATTCACAGAGTCCATAAAGATGTTTGGATACATATAATGTATAGTGATCCAAACAGGGTAATTAGCATATCCATCATCTCAAACATTTATCATTTCTTTGTGTTGGAAACATCCAATATTCTTCTAACTATTTGAAACTATGTATCATTATTTGGGGGCAGGGCGGTGGCACATAGACCAAAACCAGACAGATGTCTCTGAAAGTACATATGAACACATTTGTATGCAGGGGCTCTGGTGGAACCTAACAAACTGGGTGAAGTCGGCCCAGGGTACAAGACATTCTGTTGATGTTCCACTACATTACGATCAAATGAAGGATTAGAAAAGGAAAGATGTAGCAACAGAAGCACAGATTTTCCCAGCCCTCCAGTCTTTTCATCCGTGTTCATCATCAAAATTACAAAAATAAACCGGGCTTGGTGGCTCAGCCTGTAATCCCGCACCTTTGGGAGGCTGAAGTGAGTAGATTGCCTGAGCCCGCGGGTTCGAGACCCGCCTGGACAACTTGGCGAGACCTCATCTCTACAATAAATCAAAAAAAACTAGCCAGGCATGGTAGTACGCGCCTGTAGTTCCGGCTACTTGGAAGGCTGAGGCGGAAGGATTGCCAGAACCCAACAGGTCGATGCTGGGGTGGCCATGAGTGTGCCACTGCACTCCAGTCTGGGTGACAGTGAGACTCCAACTCAAAAAAAAAAAAAAAGAAGTCCCTTCATATCACTAAATGATCCCACCAAATTAAGAACTGCTAAGCAAGCGTAATTAAGAACCAAATTAAGAACTGCTAAGCAAGGTGAGAGGCACTATTTATTCTAAGCACTTAATTCATATCGGCTCCTTCAGTCCTCTCACCACCATGAGATAGGGACTATTATTATCCTCATCCTATAGATGGGTAAACTGAGATGCAAAAAGTAATTTGCCGGCCGGGCAAAGTGGCTCAAGCCTGTAATCTCAGCACTTTAGGAGACCCCGGTGAGTGGACTGCCTGAGCCCAGGGGTTCGAGACCAGCCTGGGCAACTTGGCAAGACCTCATTTCTACAATAAATGAAAAAATTAGCCGGGCATGGTAGTGCACACCTGTAGTTCTGGCTACTTGGAAGGCAGAGGTAGAAGGATCACCGGAGTCCAGCAGGTCAATACTGGGGTGGTGGTGAGCATGCCACTGCACTCTAGCCTGGGCGACACAGTGAGACTCCAATTCAAAAAAATAAATAAAATAAAGTAACTTGCTCACAATCATCCATCTCTTAAGTACTGAACCCAGGATAAGTCATCTGGCTTCAGAAGTTGCCTCCTAACTGGTATACCTCTCAGTTCCACCCACTCTATAGCTCAAAGCAGATATCTAAGAGTCATCATTTACTCCATCCTCTACTGCCAACCTCATACATTTCCAAACATTATTTTGAACCTCTGGACTTCCTTCCTCTCCCTGGCCACCACCTTTGTCCAGGCTATCATTTTGCTCATGTGTTCATTAACCTCCCAACAGTAAGTGAGCTTTTTAAAATCCATATCTGATCTCACTACCCTGTTGAAACCCCCTCACATGCCTGAACATGACCTTGAGAACCCTTTGTAGCCCAAACCCCGCCTTTACAGCCTCATGCCCTACATTACCCTCAAGGGACTTCTATTCCTGGAGCAACCTGAGAACATGCCCCACCTCCCCACCTTTGCTCTTACTGTTCTCTTGGACCAAAGCCATCTTCTCCCCTCAGTTCCCCTCATCCTATAGGTCTCAATTCTCCTGTTGCTTCTTTCCAGCCACCCTGTCTAAAGGGCTATTCTACCAGCACCCTATTTCCTTTATGGCACTTATCACAATCTGAACTTGAGAGTACAGGTAGTGGCTAAAAGCAGGGAGTGAGTCCTAGACTACCTAGTTTTTTGGGTTTTTTTTTTTTTTTTTTGAGTTGGAGTCTCACTCCGTCACCCAGACTGGAGTGCCGTGGCCACTCCTGGCCACCGCAGCCTCAACCTGCGATCCTTCCGCCTCAGCCTTCCAAGTAGCTGGAACTATAGGCACGTGCTACCATGCCCAGCTAATTTTTGACTTTTATTGTAGAGACAAGGTCTCGCCAAGTTGCCAGGGCTGGTCTCGAACCCGCGGGTTTGGGCAATCCACTTGCCTCAGCCTCCCAAAGTGCTAAGATTATAGGCTGAGCCACCGAGCCCAACCGACTACCTAGATTCAAATCCTGACTCTAGCCTCTGACTTCTGGGCCTCCATCTCCTTATCTATGAAAAGGTATGACAGTTCCTACTTAATTCAGTGGCTGTGATGAATTACAACAATGCCTGGCACGTGCTAAGTGCCGTTTCAGTATTTGCTGTAATTATGTATGTTCCTCTCTGTATTCCCAGTCCTTAAACACCTAGCTTGTAAATGTGCATCAAATGAACGACTATTTTTTCCTCTTCGTTGTTTCCCTTCACAGAAGTGGCAGTATCTACCATTTCCCAACCCAGGATTACCAATTAATGTGTCGTCATGGTATAGTTCATATGCATTTATTTACTCATACTCACATTGAAAAAGTGTTATACAACCTACAAAAAGTACAAAAGCCTAGTTCATTTTCCAATGCCAGATCAGATCCAAGTTGCGAAAAAGGAAGACCGCACAGTAAGTTAGAAGAAGAGCTGAGATATCCTCTACAAGTCACACTGCCTGTCTCATGACACACTTAAAGCTGTAGATGCTGCCACAGGAGAATCTCTTGTCTTTGCAGCGACCGCACAGTTCCTGTCGATGAGGCCTCCTTAGGTCAATATGTCTTTTCTTTTGAGAGCAGGAACAACGAGACTTTGAACAGGTCTTTGGAAAACAAGGAACAGGGTGAACACTAAGTGATCAGATTGTTCCAAATGCAATCCTCAAATCGAAATACCTCTCCCCACTGCCACCCCTGAGATATTCATCCTCTGACTCCTATTTGGAAGCCCCAAACCAAGTTGTACACACACTTGTATCCCATTAAATGCCAAACATTTTTTTTGAGATGAATGATCAGAGATGATGTTCAAGAGAATATTTCTGGGCCAATCAAGACAACACAAAGTAAGAAAAAAATGTTAAGAATTTTCTTTAGAGTGTCTTCACTATGTAGGTTTTTATATTTGTAGTCAGCTGTGGGTAAGGGGCAGTGAATGGAAATGAAGTGATTTGATTATCTAAATGGGAACATTTAAAAACACTAGAGCAGAGGTTCTCAACCAGGGGTCATTTTACACCCCAATCCCCCAGGGACGTTTGGAACTATCTGAAGGTATTTTGGATTGTTACAACTAGGAGAAAGGAACACTCTAGAGAAAGCTAAATTTTTTTCTTTCCAGACATGCCCAATGTTTACTGGGATATAAAACAGTGCCTTCAGCCATTATCCCATTCTGTCTTCCAACAATGAAAAGTTACATCGCATGGAGACTGGTAAACTGCACCAGTCCACCCTCCCAACACTGCCAGTCTTTGACATTCACAATCACTGATGTATTTTCTGCATGTGCCTCATAGCCACACAGAATAAGTCAACATTCACCTTTTATATTGTGAAAACAGGCATTTTCATTTTTTAAACAAGAGTCTCAAATATGATTGTTTTCAAATGTTGTACTATATTCACAACCTTTAGTCTTCTGCTGAGGAGTATGTCTCCTTATAAGACAATTCTAATAGCTAATACTCACATGGTGTTCACTATGTGCCTAGCACTGTTCTAAGCACTACATATAGATGAATTCATTTAGTTCTCACAATATCCTTATAAAGAAAGGACTCAATAAAATAAGGATTTACTCTAAAGGTAGATTTCTGCTTCTGGCAATGGTGAATTAAGTAATTCGGACCAAGCCTTCTGGACAACTAGAAAAGCTGAGCTAAAAACAAATAACTGTTTGAAAACACTGGAGAATTATCAAAGCATTAGAAAAGAAAACCCAGAAACAGAGGTGAGCCTGACATTTGAGACCATTTACCCTCACTACAGTTTTTCACACATGATATCTAGCACTAAACAGAAAATAACTGGGAACTATATATGAGTAGAACAACATGCCCAAAAGGGTAGCAATAGACCCATAGGGTATTAAGTTTATGAAGTTATCTGACACAGAATTTTAAATCACTATGCTTGATATTTTTTAAGAAAACAAGACTAATATTTCCAGCAATGAAACTGGAAAATAAAAATTCTAGAACAGAAAAATAAAAATAACCTAAATCAGTAGCTCAATGAATGGGTTTAATAGCAGATTTTAAAGAGCTGAGCTGAGAAATAGAAATGAAAGATAATTGAGCAGATGATATCCACCCTAAAGCAAGAAGAAACAAAAGCATGGAAAATATAAGAAAACATGAAAGATGGAAAGGAATATGGTACAAAAGTCTCTGGAATTGAGAGAGAGAGACAGAGACAGAGAGACACACACACACAGAGACACTACAGAGAGAGAAGAGAATAGCAGAAATATTTGAAAAGACAAGGGTTAATATTTTCTAAAATTAATGAAAATCTTCAAGCCACAGATTCAAGAAACACTGTGAACCCCAAGTAGGATAAATATAAAGAGACCACAACTAGGCACATCACTGTAAAACTGCTAAAAATCAAAGCAGAGAAAAAAAAACCATCAAAGCAAGCAGATTTAAGAAGGGGCGAGAGAGGAAAGAGGAGAGAGAGAGGGCGATTACTTCAAAGAAGCCACAGTAAGACTAACAGTGTCAATTTCACAGAATAAATGAGGGCCAGATCCCCAAAGGGCAGAAAGAACTACTGCCAGCCAGATATTCTATACCCTGTAAAAACACATCTTACAAAGATATTCAGACAATTAGAATTTTTCACCTTCACACCTATACTACAGAAAATTTTAAAGCATGTTCAAGTCAAAGGAAAGTGACCCCAGATACAAAAAAAAAAAAAAGCCTAAGAACAAGAAGACAGAATAAATACAAAGTAAAACTAAACGAATACTGACTATTTAAAATAATAACTTGTAAAGTTTAAAACATAGGTAAGATTAATCTAGGCAACATAGCAAGACACCCATCTCTACCATTAAAAAAATCAAAAATTTAGCCAGGAATGGTGGTGGGCACCTGTAGTCCCAGCTACTCAGGAAGCTGGACTGGGAGCATTGCCTGAGCTCAGGAGGTCAAGGCTGCAGTGAGCCATAATTGTGCCACTGCACTCCATCCTGGGCAACATAGTGGGATTCCGACTCAAAAAATAAAACAAAAGCCGGGCTCGTTGACTCAGCCTATAATCCCGTGCCTTTGGGAGGCTGAGGTGAGTGGATTGCCTGAGCCTGCGGGTTCGAGACCCGCCTGGGCAGCGAGACCTTGTCTCTACAATAAATCAAAAAATCAGCCGGGCGTGGTAGCGCATGCCTGTAGTTCCGGCTACTCGCAAGGCTGAGGTGGAAGGATCGCTGGAGCCCAGCAGGTCGAGGCTGCGGTGGCCGGGAGCGGCCACTGCACTCCAGTCTGTACGACAGAGTGAGACTCCAACTCAAAAACAAACAAACAAACAAAACAACAACAACAAAAAAAACCCAAAAAGTAACTGTCACACTTCAGGAAACTGTCAGGTTTCCTTCAAGCTGTTGTAGATATGTATCCTGGCCTCCCCCTCCACGCCCCCTCTCAGTCCCCAGACTCAAGAGGGCTTACTAGGAGATCAAGGATCTCATCTAGTTCTGTGACTT